AGTGACGAAAAAAAGGCAAGGAGTGAAGTGAAAAATTTAAAACCAAAATATACACATATTTTTTTACATGTGTTGTCAAGTTGTAGCCTAGTTTGCTTCCAGGCGTTTCATAACCTCTGAAGAAATGTAATTCATTATACATACGGTTTCGACTTGTCATGAGTTGAGCTTTATAATACATGTATTAACTCCCTTCTTAATTACCCTCCATCTACGAGATAGTGGCTACATGATCAATTGTATCCCTTTGTATGTGTAATTCGTGAAGTTCTTATGAAACTTTGGAAACATATTTAATTCGCCAGAGGACTTCTTCATCAATTAATATCACACAGCAATTCCAAAAAATCTCTCTTGGCTACGAGTAGAAAAAATTTTGTTTCAAAATTTTCGATTTTTTTCATTTTTTCAAAATTATAGATTTTGTAGACCCGATATTTCAGTAACGAAGCAATGAAGAGAAATGATCTTTTTACCAATCGATAGTTCATGAAGTTTGATACAAAAAAGGTTCTTATCGTTTTTGAATCCAATGCTTCCTTTAGTTTCTGCAATCATTCTACAAATGGTCACTCCAGTGACCAACGGGGGGTAAAGGGTTAACACTCGGAGAAACGATACGTCGGAAATTATTAAAGACTCTCTTTATTTAATAAATTTCTCGAAAAATTCGAACTTTAATTAGTATATTTACATCAAAATATGTCTAATTTTCAGGATTTTGAGCTCAAATACTAAAACAATAGAAGACTTCGGATTTTCTATTGTGGAAAGAGGTTTAGCATATTCTACCTTAATCCAAACCATAAAAAAATCTTTTTATACTCTATTTTGCAGACCAAATTTTGCTTCACAACATGCTCAACTCATTTGACTTTTTGCCAATTACTACAGAAGATTAAATTTAAATGCTGTGTAACATAAAGAGTAACTATCAGGCCACTGGTTTATATCCCGACCCAAGTGGTTCGAACATTGTTTAGGCTCGGCCGAGGCGGGCGGTCCGTTTCGAGAACTATTCGAAAAATGTGCATAGTTTATTAGAAAAATTAAATTCTCTATAATAACAGAACGTTAAAACTACCTGAAAATATCATTCAAAGAACTGACAGAAAACTATTTTTGATTTATTAAAAGATATTTGCTTACAATGAATCAATTATAAATCAGAGAAAAATTTTGAATATGTATAAATGAAAAGAATATAAAATTTTCATTTTCTCTAATGATTAATATAGACGGTCAAAAATGTTTTACCTAAGGATTAAATGAAATTTTATTTTTACCTTGATTCAAGTTGTGTAGCTACACAACATTTAACAAATGAATGAAATTCTTTTGTATATCGTCGTTTTTTTAATTCTTCAACATATAAACTAGAATTATCATCACTAAGAGCAATCACTATAGAAAATTTACACAAAAAAGAAAATACATATATATGCATAAGTCTATAATAAAAATTAAGTAATTCGAGAACATACTTTCATCTGTTAATTGAGTTTGATCAAGTAAAATGGGTTCTGAACCTTGCATTTTAGCATATAACATCTAAAACAAAAAAAAAGACTTGTTTCTGATGTAAAGATGTACGGGACAAGTTTTAGCTCCTGTCACAAAAGCACATGAGATTCAATAGAGCTATGGACTAGGGATGTACAGTGTTAGTGTAAATACTGACGGTAAGTCATCAACGCAGCGTCCAATGGGTAGGTTCACATCCGGATCTGTAAGAGTCCGTAACTTCCTACTACTGAGACACTGGTATTCGCGTTCGCTGCAACATAGAGACACTATCCTTTTTGGTAGCAATCTGTTTCGGTGCTTCAGCAAACATTGATGTCAGTATGAATTAACTACACATCCCTAACTATGACCAAAACTGCAAAGACTTGATTCCGTACATCTTTACTCTAACATATATTTGCTTGAATTACTAGTAATAGAAGAATAATTAAGTTCTATTATTTATACTTACACTTAAATTTCCAAAAGGCATATCAATATAAGTATTACTACCATTAGCAAGTTCACATGCAACAGTACCCAAACTATAAACATCACTTTTAAAATTATATCCATCTGCATTCTAAATAGAAATTTATTTTATATTTGAATTATAAAATAAAAATTCAACTAACTTGATAAATAATTTCTGGTGCTAAATATAATATTTCATCTTTAAGATCATCTGTATAATCATATATATGACGTCTTAATTTTCCATCAAATGGTGATATCATGGATACACAATGAGAAAAATTATCTAATAAAACATGTCCATCATCACAAATATAAATATGTTTTGAAGTAATAGCACTAGAATATTAAAAATTGGCTTTTTTTTTCTTTTTTAATCATTTATCGAATATTAATGTAGACTTACCGATGTACAATATGTCTATCTTGTAAATAACGAAGAGCTTGTAATAATTGCCACATAATATGAGCAATTAATGGTTCACGTATACCAAAAGGATGAGCACGTAATAGATCAGCACAAGAGCCTAGATTAAATATAATATAATATTCTTTCATATTGATCAAGAATATGAATTTAAAATTGAATTTTTAGATTATTTATAATTATTAAAAAGAAAAAGTTCAACATTTTTGATAATTAACTATAGAGATAAAATGCATATATAAACTCTCGATATTATTCAATCAATCCTATGATTGTTGACAAACTTCAAAAGATATTTCTCCATCTAACATCTCAACTTTTAACCCTTTACCCCCACAGCAGTTTCAGAAGAGCCACCGATAATATAACTATACGAATAGAGTACTAGCATGTCTAGTATGACAATTATGTGATCTGATTCACCGAATGTCTATCTCTTTGTGTAGGACCATTTAAGGCTCCCTCCCCTCCTCAAAAATTGATCTCAGCCCAGGAACATTCAAACAGGCTGATATTTGGAGGGTATGTTGGGCCTATGATAGAATGCATGTGATAAAAGTTTCAGCCTTCTATCATGACGTATAATGGAGATACAGACCGAATAAGAGTCAAAAAATGGCTTATCGCATCTTCAAAAGTTCTCAGTGGCTCTTCAATATATATACTTGATTTTTTTTTTGTTTGAAAGAGTATGTCCGGATGCAGTGTCTATGAGGGCCTTTTTTTTAATCTTATCTTTTAAGGGGAAAAGGACTCTGACAAGTTCGGTTACTAAAAAAACTTTCAAAAATGACGCTCTAATTAAGAAGGGACTTTTCAATATAATAAAAGCAAAGCCTATGTCAAAAAAAGGGCTCTCATAGGCACTGCAGTTTTTGATTCTCTTTCAAACAAAAAAAAAAGATATTCGACTTTATATCGTATTGTAGTTGACTTTCGCTGGAGATGCGTCGTGCAACCACCATTTTGAGAAAAACGCAAAAAAATTTTTTTGATGGGAAAAAGACGTTTTCCTACAAAATCCTCTTTTTTTAAAAAAAATAGGTATGTGATGACGACAATACACTTTTTTGCGAAAATCCATTTTTTCGAAGGACCAAACCTCAAAATTATGTTGATTCTTAATGTTCAGGCCTCATAGTATTCAGCTATGCCTTTCTCTCAGATTTCGTTTTTCTGACGAAGTTTGACATTTTTTTAGGGGGGGGGGGGGAGCGCTTAATTGGTCGATTAACCGTGTGATGGAGTAAGGGGATGAAACGACATATTAAGCGTTGATTTGTTTTTCTCTGACCACATTATTGAATGAGCAAAAGTAACATTTCTCCTATCCTATTGGAATAATGAAAAACCGAGGGAATAAACCAATAAAAATTAACGTCGAAAAAATACGTATACTTTTAGCACATTTTCTTAAATAGGCATCTACCTTCTCATGAGTTGAGGTTTATAATACATATATTACCATTTCTCTTAAATGCCCCAAAGATGCCTCATAATGGTTTCTTGGTCACTTATGTGCATTAGTATGTGCAATTGGCCAACTTATTGTGATGTATTCGGAACATATCTAACTTACTAATAGATACTTTCATCAATTTATATCACATGAAAATTCCGAAAGATCTTTGTTTAGTGTAAGTAGAGAACGATTTGTTTCGAAAAATTCGATTATTTTTCATTTTTTTCAAAATTATTGATTTTTGTTGGCCCAATATTTCAAAGATGAAGTGATGAAAAAATTATTCTTTTTACTAATTGATAGTTCATAAAGTTCACTATAAAAAATGTTCTTATCGTTTTAAAATTCCATGCTTTCTTTATTTTCTGCAATCATTCTACAAAATGGCAATTCCAATTGCCAATGGAATGTAAAGGGTTAATCATCTAGATAGAATCTATATTGATGAAATGATTCGTTTTAAAATCTGAATAATCAATTACAAAAATTCAATATGTTAAACATTAAATATTCTTAATAAATTTATTTAATAACATACCAAACGAAGCATATGGTTTCACAAGATGAAGTTTTGTATCAATAAGAAAACAATCTCGAAGTGACATTAAATTATAATGATTTAATTGTTTATACCATAATATATCTTGCTACAAAAAAAAAAAGAAATTCAATATCTTTGTTTTATTTTCTTTTACTACATACAATAAATTCACTAAGATTCGTCATTTTTTCTAGATCTACTATTTTTAAAGCATATTTTGTTTTATTTTTATCTTTATTATCATATACTAAATAAGCTAGAGAACCTTGACATTCATCAATATTTGAATTCGAATATTCTTAAAAAAAAAACAATTCGAAATTCTTAATCTATAAAATCTTTTCCTTACTTAATGTATCAATAATTCGATATGTTAAATAATAATCGTTCGACATTATTTCTAATCTACAAAAAAACAAAAAAAAAGAAAATTCAAAAAAATAAAATTTATTCCCAATGATTAAGTATATGATCAAGTATATTTTTAAATAATTTCATTGTTTCAGTTTCTAATATAGTTTCTAAACCATGTTCAACTTGTTGAATACCTTGATCAAGTATTACATTTAATTTATTATCAATAGGTAATCTACCTAAAAATGGTATCGAATATTGTTCAGCTAATAAAATTCCACCACCTTGTGCAAATATATTTGTACATTCACTACAATATGGACATACATAACCACTCATATTTTCAATTAAACCAATTATTTGAAATGAAGTTTTTTGACAAAATGTTATTTCACGTCGTACATCATTTATTGATAACATTTGTGGTGTTGTTACAAGAATTGCACGTAAAAAATCTTTTGCATGTATTTGTTGTTTAAGTATAGTCATAACTGCTATATGTTCATCGGATGTACCTGGTGGTGTATCAATAATAAGATAATCAAGTTCACCCCAGTTAACACCTATTAATAAACGTTGAATCATTGCAGTTTTTCTTGGTCCACGCCAAATAATTGCATCATTTGAATTATCTAATAATAATGCCATTGACATTAATTTAAATCTTGAAGTATCATTTGATGATGAAAAGATATCAATTGGTGTCATACCTAATTTAAAGATAATTAGAAACATTTTCTGAAGAAAAATATATTAACTCGAGATTTTGTCACTTCCAATATCACAAATCATTGGTTACGTTTTCATAGCGACCGAGGACAACAGACGTCAGACTTCTTTAGCAACGGAAAAAAGGTACTGAACCCTAGTTGAAACTCCCTAGAGGAATTCCTGTCGTGAACCCATGGAGGAGTTAATCCAGAAGCTACCATTGAAATTCTCTGAAAAATTCAAATTTATGCAAATTTTATAGGGGATCCTGAGATATGCAACTTCTCCGGGGACTCATAACAGAGATTTCGCATTTTTCAGGGAACTCTCCGGTGATTGCGTTGGGGAGAGTCGACTAGGGAATGACTTTACTGACATGATTTACAAGGAAACGTTTTCAACTGATCAATCGCTTTCTCAACAAAAGCTATCTGGTGATAAGTTATTGACTATGCTGATTTTCTAGACTAGTAAACATTTCTCTAAAATACTTTTGGATTTACTCATGACCTTAACTGATCCACGCCGTTTTCAATAATATTTTGTTCATATATCGGGGAGAGTATTTTAAGAAAAATGTGCTCATAGACCTTCCTTCATAGGCTATGACCATTTTTCCATCTAGTATAAGGTATATAGGAAAAAATTGAAGAGCAGAACTTTTTAAAAACTTGTCTTACAAATTATAGAATCCTGAAAGATTGACTTTATTAAAAATTGAATATCTCTAAAAGGAAATATTTTTTTCCACTAAAACTTTTCGAATGTTCTAATGATCACAAGAGCTACATATGACCAAAATTTTAGATTCCTTCAATTTTTCCCTATATACCTTGTACTAGGCAGAAAAATGGTCATAACCTTCGAAAGAAGGTCCATGGACACACTTTTCTTAGTCCTCGACATATACACAAAATATCATTGAAAACGATGTGGATCACTTGGAAACATTTCTTCGTCAGATTATAGAGCATATCGAGTTGTTTATAAGTCAATAATCTATTGTGTTTTGTAAAAATGAGTTTTAAAGCAAAATCATACTATCTTGAAGATTTAAACATCTATCTGTTGTATGAATTAAAATGACTGTACTTTCTGCGAAAACAACGATAGTCTAGAAAATCAGTATATGAAAATATAAGGAAATTTCTCAGGGCCCATGATTTAGGGGTGCACCAGTGCCAGTAACTGGGTCCCAGTCCGACTGGACACCCCGTCACGACTGGGTACTTAGTCATTTGACGTTTATTCCGCTAATCAATCAGTACTTTCCTCTTTTCTAAGGGTGTGGATGTGGATATGGGTTTGATGTTGGTATGGGTGTCGTTATTGTCATTCTAACCATTCCCACGTCCAAACAACATCCACTCCCACATCCATCGAAACAACATCCACACCCACACCCTGAAGACATGAAATTTATTTATAGTATTCTAAATTATAACGATTGATATATAGATATATGTGATTAGCCAATGGATTCAGTGTTATAGTTTATATCAGTACTTCAACAGCCTAAGAATCACTGTATCACAATATACTAAAAAAGAAGAAAGTACTACTCGACTAATGGAGTAAAGATCAAAGGACTCAGTACCCAGTCCGACTGAATACCCAGTTCACCAGTCAGGACTGGGACTGGTGCATCCCCACTCATGGCTATATTCAGACTCAACATGATTGATGATCTGTAATTCAGAAAGTGATTGTTCTAATATACTTTTCTGAGCTTTAAACAGACTAAAAATTTCTGTTGAATATGTCAACGAATATATTGAACTTGTTATAATCGTTATATGATCAATTATATTTACACTTAAGTGCAAAAAAAGAAAACAGAACTTTATACTTTTTTGTCAATAAGATAATAAAAATAACTTAACTGTATATCTTTATTTCGAAAAACAATTTCAAATAGATTGTACTGACAAACTTTTTATAATACCTTCTGTTGTTTCATAAACAACATTCGATTTAGAATTTTTATCAACACCAAACATTCTCGGAATGGACGGTCCACATAAATCAACATCAAGTAAACCAACTCGAAGATTACGTGAATAAAGTGATAAAGCAAGTTGTGTAGCTACAGTTGATTTACCTAGAATTAAAAACAAAAAAAAAATATGCACAATTATTTTATTCAAAAAAAAGAAATAAATTTCAAATACTAACCAACTCCTCCTTTGCCTGATAAAACCGCAATAACTCGTTTAACATTATCTAAACCTGACATATCTATAAATCGAAACAAATTTCATCTTTCAAATGTCATAACCACATATATAAGAAAGAAAAAAAGAAGAAATAACATAATAAGTATGTATGTTCATTATTTTCTTTTTTTTTACAACACACATACGGTAATAAATATAAACAAGACACATAAGCGCATATACAGAGGAAAAAAGACAAAAAAAAAATATATATATATATACTGTCAAACATTTATTTATTTATTTTTTTTTTACACAAAACCGAATATTTTCGTTTTAATAGCATACTGTAATTTTAATTTTAAGATTGTCTTTGATGAATATAATGGAACATATAAACGACTAATACATGTATTTGCTGTTGGTAAATGTTGATCATCAGCTGGTCGAATGGTAACAGATGGTTGAGGTTGAAATCCACCTTCTGATGCTGGTAATGTAGGACTACCCGTCCAAAAATAAACCTATTGTTTAAAAAAAAATAAAATAAAATTTGATTAGAAAATTCTTTTGTATTCTTACTAAATCTTGTCTTTCAATAGGATTAAATTTTTCTAAAACAGACCAAAACCATTTTTTAAATTGATTTATACGTTCATTTATTTCACCTAAAACAAAACATAAAATAGATTATAGAAATTATTATTATTTTTTTTTGTATGTACATACCACTTTCATCATTAAATGTTGTATATGTCATTAAAGTTGTTATATTTATATTAGTTGTACCATTAAGAAGTAAACGAAAATCTTCAGGACTTAAATAATCAAGTGATGTTGATGGTAGAACATCAAATACACCCAAACGTAAATGCTTTAAATAAAAAATAAAGATTAATTTTTGTTTTTTTTATTATATATTTTATATTGTTACCCGAAGAGATTGTTCAACAAGATGAATCATTCGAAATTCAGCATAACGTTTAATAAATTCATATAGATTAGAATATGTTACATCTTTTAATGAACCATTAGGTATTAGATCATAAGTTTCACCTCCCTATAATAGAAAAAAAAAACAAAAAAAAATTTTGTGAATTTTTTTTGTACTAGAATTGATTAAAATTTTCAATACAATAAATTTCTAATGAAAGATTATTTGAAGTCCTTCTTGTTGACTTAATAATTCAACTATTATAATATCAAGATAGTATACGAAATTTTATTCTAATAAAGAAGGAAGGATACTAGGACATTTTCGATTGGTGTAAACCATCGCCTATAAAAATTAAATCTAGGTTACTTATCTAACCGACAGGTTCCTCCACCTATGTATTATTATCATTCAACTAACAAGAAAAACTTTTCTCATTGATTTTTGAGTCGAAACTATGCACATTATGTAGACCCTAGTGAACTATGAATAGCCTGAAATGAGTTCGGAATATTAGCTTATTGCTACGGAGATACCGTATTTTTTAAGCCCATGATGTAGTCGTCCTTGAAAAAATTCATTTTTGAATTGCGACTTGAAACTTTGCACTACGCTATATCCACTATTTGAGTTCATATTAATTTACACGGAGGTCTTGGTAAGACTAGAAAAAATTCTAAAAGGTCTCGTGTCCATCCGTCTCTACAGTCAAGTTATGACCGTTTGCTACAAAAATTGAGTTTACTTGAAAATTAAATATTAATACAAGAATTTAAATATTATTTTTGTTTAACTTCAATAATTATTCTAATAAAAATCTAACCTCTTTTTCTGTAACAGTCATTGAAAATGTTAAATGTAAATCATTAATATATTGTGATCCATTTTTTTCTGCATCATATGCAGTTCGACGTAAATTTTCATACATCATTGAATCAAAAAAAGCTAAATCATGCCAACGTATTGATCGATTTAAAATATATTTTATTACATGACGACATAATGGTAATGGAAATAATTCATTTTGTAATAAACATAAACCAATTAATCTAAAATTAGAAAAAAAAAGAAAAAAAAATTAAAAAATATTATTGTTTTGTTTACCTTCCAACATTTCGATAAGCAGTTAAACGTTCAGGAGTATATTTTCCTGGTCTTGGTGCATAAACACCTTTTTTATCTGGTTGCCAAAATAATGGTGTATATTCATTTAATTGTTTATCATATGTAAAATTATTATTTAATAAACGTTCATTTGTTATTGATAAATCATTTTGTTGTATATCACGTGTATTAGATGATGATGTTAAAATATTCATAGCATCATCAATTCGATTTCTTAAATCTTCATCAATATTAATTATACGTTGTAATTGTAATGTTGGTAAACCTTCTAATAACATTCCAGTAATTTTTTCAGCATGAAATGGTTGAATAGCTGCAACTTTTGGATATATACTAAGACCTAATTTTATTTTATTTGGTGTCCAATGTTCAATTATAGATGATTCAGAATTATTTGTTGTTGTTGTTGTTGATTCTGATGGTAAATTTAATTTAAATGGACGTGCTTCTGATGAAAGAAGTATTGATGATGAACGTCGATCACTACGTAAATATGTTGCTAATGCTGTACGTCGTTCACGAGTTAAACGTTGTTGTTGAGATTGAGAAGATGATAAAGAACCGGAAAGTGTTTGAGTTGTAGATGATGTACTCAATTCAAGATTAGGTAATTTTTCTTCAGATAAAATAGCCTAAACATAATCAATTAGAAGTATAAAAATAAATGAAAAGAAATTCATTTAAATATTTGATATTAAAGGCAAGAATTAAATCTTCAAGACTATGAATTTCTTTTGGTATGATTTCAATAGGTTTACGAATGTTACGCAGAGGACGGGATATGGGTGTGACTGTAAAAATCCATTCAATTGAAAATTTTCATGAATTGCCTAATTCGAGTTCGAATATAAATGGACATCTCACTATCGATTATTACTTCGAAAATAAATGACAAAAAAAAGGTTTCCTTGTTCAAATAGTAAAAGATAAATTTTATATAAATTTGAAGGTACACCTTTGTAGAGACAGCAAATAAAGCATAATATTTCAAGTGACGCCAACACGACACCACTTACCAGAGATATCAATCGCGACTGAAAATCTGTCGCGATGGTTTTTGTAGAAAAAATGGCGAAAACATCTTTTACCCGCGTAACACACCTTTTATCTCAATGTCGCGATCCATTCACAGTGATCGGATTAGTTCCAATTCGAATTATATTTGCAATGTGCATCAGTCTATATGTTTCGGTTTTTCTTGTTGTATTAATACGAAAGTCGTTTGTTTTTTTTTCAACTCGAATTAAGTATCTACTCTTAATAAACGATCTTTTATAGTAATGGTAAATTCGACATCTTTTATTCTTGAAACAAACTCATCTTAATGAGATTAAAGTATAAATAAACCTGTCTAATATTTATGATTTAACCGATAAATGAAATTCTTTCGCCTGTGTATATTTGAGTGTTTAAAGATAATCAAAAGGTTTTTTTTTAAATCCAACTAATGAGTTTATGGATATAATCATATGTATTCTTAACAGTTCTCGTGTACAAGATACGACAGTTAGTATTTCAAGATTTTGATTATTAAAAGTTGTTTTTTTTTATAAAAGATAAGCCTGATCTTCGGCATCAGCATGCGAAAATACACTAAAGACTCTGTACTTCATTTCAAACGATTTCTAATAAAATTTTACGAATGAAAAGTTGAGGGAGAGAGTAGGAAGCAAATTTTAATATGAGATACTTTCTGATGAAATATACTTAGGACATATCAAAAGTTCTGGCCACGGCGTTTAAAGAATTTTTTCGGATAAGGAGGTTTATTGAGAAATGAAAAATCAAATATCCAATGTTGTAGAAGTTTTTGAGATGCATCGGATGGGATATAGTAAATCCTATGTTCATAGAAATTTAAAGAACCTGGAGTCAATTTACTGATAGACGACTACATATTGACAAGATGATCGGATATGCTACATATAGGAAGTTGTAGTCCGTCAAAAACTCTACAAAATTGTATGTGAGGAAAAATATTTTCGACTAATACCAAGGATCACAATATTCAGAAATTTATCATGCTTGAGTATGAATGTGTAGTCGTCTATCAGTAAATTGACTTTAATTTCTTTAGAACCTTATGAAAACAAGATTTTCTATATACCATTCGATGCGCCTCAAAAAGCTTTACAACATCGGATGTTTGGTTTTTCATTTCTCAGTAGATCCCCTTTTCCGAAAAGATCCGTTGAACACCATGGCCAGAACTTTTGGTATGCTTTAAGAAGAATTTCCGGTATATTTCTGCATACTGTTTCCGACCATCAGACTTATTTTTCGGTATTTTCTATTGGATTGATCTTATTCGCTTTCAATACATGCGTTATTTTCTTTAATAATATTCTCGAAATTTTCGATTATTTAATGAATTATAATACATTTTCCAAGAGTAGGAATATCTTACTTCAGCAATTGATGCATAAAAACTTCTTGCTACTCCACTACCTTCACCAGGTTCATCTTTAAATGTAACTTTAACACGTTGTACAGCTAATGATGGTATAGATGATGATGATGATGATGATGAATTTATATTTTGATTACGATAATAATATGAATTAAGTGTTCGAAATGTTTTTTGTATTAATAATATACGATCACGTTCCATCTAAAATTTATAAAGATAATTTAATAGAGATGAAAATAAAGTTTTAATTTTACCGCTTCAAAACGAATATCTTTTTGATTTGTATTTTTAAATCTTTCCATATCATGACGAAAACGTTGTTCACGAGCAGAAAATCCACTTGATTCATTTATTATTGAACCAGGTTCATTACCAACATCATCCAAAAATAATTTTACAAATAATTCTATTGAAAATCTCCATCGTGTTAATAAATATTCATAGGAACCATTTAAAAGTATTGAATGTGATGTTGATTGTCTAGAAAACAAACAAACAAA